CCAACCCCTACAACTCTGTGATTCTGTGATTTGTACATGGGCAGCAACCACCTTAGGGTATGGAGCACTGCACTGGGGACAGCCTAGACAAGCAGTGGTCATCAGTTCATTTAGATCTGCTCCTGATGAAGATCCGAACCTGCTGTCTACCACTGGCTGTGAGGAAGTGCCAGAAAATAATTCAGATTGCAAAGACACCAGGACAAGCCAAGGCAGAGGCAGCATCGTAGCAGTTTGCTTCTAGAGCAGGAAAAAAGAAAATGGGTATATTTTCAGTAAATCAGCCTTATAAGTGGCACTGTGGGAAGCAAAGCCACCAAACAGAAGCAACCAGAAGTCACTGGTGATTCTTCACCCAGCCCACACAGCCTCTGCCTGGGCTTGTGTTTTTATCATGGTGCCAGGACAATATATTGCCGCTTTGTGGGGACATTGAGGTTTCTGCAACAGGACCCAAACATGTTCCTGCATGCTCTGACAATGCATGGTCAGTGAAGGCAATTGTGTTATGGACTTCAGGGCCAGGCAGGAATCTGGGATAAACTCAAAGATAAAACAATGTGTATTCAAAAGCTGATCAGATTCCAGAGCAGACTTTGCCAAGATAATCAGAAAGAGATCCAGATGTGGCTGAGCCAGACTTTATCTGCTGCTTCATTAAAGTCCAGACAGTGCCACTTCCCCCTTCCTGGGCAGACCTGGATCATCCAGAAGCAGCTCTGGCCTGGGCAGTAGGTCTCATGCAAGGCAGGACTCCTTGTGGAGAGCCCGTTTTGTCTGCAGTGTGATCGGCCAGTGCTTCTCTCTCACACAGCAACAGCTACAGCAACACCATACGCTGCATCCTACACAACAGTAACGGGATGCAGAGCTGTAAGCAGCTTCTGGAAAACACTGTAACCCAGTGAAAACCCTTCCTCCAGAGTCCACCAGTGTTTCCATTTAAAGCCCCTCTCTAAATGGGCACAAGGAGAGTAAGAAAGAGCAGAGGATTGGCATGCCTAATGGAAAACAGCATCATAAGTCACTTGGCATCACCCCAGGTTTTCAGCGCCACATGAGAATGTCACTTGGGTAGAGTTGTACCAATTCTGCTGGTAGATCACTCAAGTAGAAACAAATGTAGGGACCCATTAGAGGGCAGTAAACAAATGTTTCCTCCTCCTTCACAAGGGGAAGAGGAGGGGCAGGTGCTGATCTCCTCTCTGGTGACCAGCGATAGGACCAAGGGAAATGGCAGGAAGATGTGCCAGGGGAGGGTGAGGTTGGCCATGAGGAAAAGGTTCTTGAGGTAGAGGGTGGTGGAGCACTGGAACAGGCTCCCCAGGGAGGTGCTCATGGCACCAAGCCTGACAAGATTCCAGAAGCAATTGGACAACATGTGCCCTCAGACACATGGTGTGAATGTTGGGATTGTCCTGTGCAGGGACAGGAGCTGGACTTGATGATCCCTGTGGGTCCCTTCCAACTCACAACATTCTATGATTCTATCCAGAAGACAGCTCCCACAGTCAGGGTTATCTCACATAGAACAAGCCTTAAAAAGCTTTTGCTTTTTTTTTTTTTTTTTTTTAAATCACAGACATTACATTACCTGGTATCATTTTTATAGCGGTGTTCACTTCACTCCATTCATGAACCTTGTCAAACTTCCAGTCCAGGATGAAGTTCCCATTGTCCGTCACCACGGGGCCCTGGGAATCAAACACATTTGTCAGCACTGTGAGCTCCTTATCTACCCAGCACAGCCAAGGACTGTCACAACCTCCCACCAGGACCAGCCATCCCCACTTCAACAGTTTAGAGAGAGTCAACGTTCAGGTAAATCAGGGCAGTCCATAAAAAGCTGGTAACTAAAACCATCACCCAAGGCAACTGCTCATTCCTCATTCTCCTGCGTAGGGATCATCAGGCAGAAGCTGGTAAGAGCGATGCAATTCCATCGCTGCAGCAGGGGATCTTTTCACAAGGACAAAGCTACATTAATGTCCTAAAAAGTCTATTACAGGCAACTGAAGTCAAAATAAGACCCCTCCACCCCAGTGGTAAGAGCATGCTGCCAGATGCCACGGGGAGGTTTTGGAGTTGTAGAACTGCTGGACTTCAGCATCCCAGACATGCCCAGTGCTCTCTCAAGCCCAACAGAAGAAGCAATTGGGTCCTTTCAACAGAGCAGAGACAGCTGGGGCTGTGGACAAGGCATTTCAGCAGCACTGAGCAGGACATGCAACCACACGTGCCAGGAGGGACCCGCATCCTCCAAGGACACGGCTAGTGCTGGAGCAGCACCAACACGCATCCCCTGAGCGAGGCTGGTCTCAACTTCACAGAGAACAATTGGTTTGCTCTTCTCAGGCAGCCAAACACAGTCCTTACAGCCTCTTGGGATGAGACACATTATGAACAAGCATTCAGCCTTCCAGCCACAGACAGCCCACCTTGTGTGACATGGGCTGGCAAAGCCCCACTGACCAAGTCAGGACAGGACAGCAGCACTGGTGACAAGGCAGCTTCAGTTTTAATTTAGTCTGGCTGTGTGTGGTATGGAGGAGCCTGGGACAAAGCATGAGCTCCCACCCCCCCAATATGAGACCCTCTTTGTCAGCCCCCAGACATCCCTGCAGAGCAGCAGGTCCAACCTGGACTGGCAATCCCTCCTCTCCCTGCTCAAGGACACTTGTTTTGGGAGACATAAGCCAGAGAGGCTTACCACGAGCAGCCTGAACACACAGTTCATTAACCAAAGTATAATTAGGAGGTATTACACAAGATGCTACTCGTGAGAGTGAAAGCCCAGATTTAATTAGTTGAAAGGCCAGACCTCTGGTCCTCTGTGTGCCCACATTCAGGTGGTTCCTCTGGGGAAGCAAGGCTGATGAGGGACACGTACCGCTTTGCTAACAGCCATCCGCAGCTCCACGGCACCTCCAAAGTTTTTGGTCAGGGCTCTGGTGACAGGGACATAAGCCATGGGGATGACTTCGATAGGAATTCCCTTCTTCCATTGCTCCCCGAGGCTCTTTGATTTTTTCCTGAGGACACAGTTGGAAGTGGGATCAGCACCAGACATTGCATCGCCCACACCATGAATATAACACACTTATGATGTTACCTCCTGCAAAGCTCCCAGGTGTAAGGCCCTGGAGGGCACAGCGGTCAGGTCACACGTGCACATGTGTAGGAAGAAGCCATTTAATGCACGATGCTCTATTCACTCATAAGCCCTGTTTTGACATGTTTTGGACAAGCAGGACATGAGCTGTTTTTTCTACAGCCCTGTGGCTGTATGTACAGAAGGGGAAATTTTATTCTGTGCTGACAATCACTGAGCTCAAAGACCAGAGCAGCCGCTTCCCCAGAAGCTCTGCTGACTCCTAAGCAGGCTTACTGAGTTGAAAATTAAGGAAAAAAAGCTAAATTGAATTGCTGAAGCACTAGGAGTCAGGCTCATTTCCATTTACTCCTGCTCCCCTGACCCACTGGAAGGACAATAATGGACTCATACAGGACCATCTGAATTCTCCCATGGGACAAAGAGGTATAAAGACCATTCATAATATTTTTACCTGTAATCAGCAATAACGATGAAGCATTTTGCATATCCTGCAACTATCTTCTCCTGTGTCAAGCAGCCACTGCAAGGGGGAAAAAAAAAATAAAAATCAGAAAACAGACTGCTTCTCAATGTGCCTGATGATCCATCCCAAAGTCCAGTCCTCTCCACCACGTTCCTGCTGGTTTTGGTGCTGCTGTTGTCCCACGTCAGGGCTCTTTCCCCTGCCCCTTCCCTTTATCCTCATCCCTTGCACAAACTCTCAGTCAGGACACATCTCCCACTACAGGTGCATGCACAGCCCTGCACAGGATCCCACCAGCATCTCCAGCCCACCCCAGAGACATCTGCAGCCAGAGAAGGATGCTCAGAGCTGCCACCTGCACCACACACAGACAGACGGACGGACAGCAAGGCTCACCCGCCACCTTTGATAAGGTTGAGGTCAGAGTCCACTTCATCAGCTCCATCAATGGCCACGTCGAGCTGTAGGAAGAATAGAAATTTGGTGTGGAAACCCCTCCCAGGCAGCATCAAGATGCTGCTCTCGGCACAGCCCAGCAGGGTGTTGGGTCCCAAGCAGCAGACAGAAATGTCACCAGAGCTGGGACCACCTTGATGCCAGCCTGACCAGAGATGAGCATCTGATCAGCCACTCAAGGACACCAGCCCCAGCAAAACCACAGACATGTGAGGAAAAAACCCCAAAACAACTGCTGGCCTGCAAGGCACATCGTTTCAGCCTCTAATGTTGTTAGCTAAGGGGTGGGGGGCTGCTGGGGAAAATCTTGGTCACAACACTTCAGCAATGCCATATCCTGGGGAAGGGTCTGGAGCACAAGTGTGATGAGTTCACAACTCAGGGAACTGGGGTTGTTGAGCCTGGAGAAAAGGAGGCGGAGGGGAGACCTTCTGGCTCTGTCCAACTCCCTGAAAGGAGGGTGGAGAGAGGTGGGGGTGGGTCTGTTCAACCAAGGAACAAGTGACAGGATAAGAGGAAATGGCCTCAAGCTGCACCAGGGGCAGTTGAGATTGGATGTGAGGAAGAATTTCTTTGCTGAAAGGGTTCTCAGGCGTTGGAAGGGGTTGCCCAGGGCAGTGGTGGAGTCCCCATCCCTGGAGGGATTGAAGAGTCGTGTAGACATAGTGCTAAGGGACATGGGTTAGCTGGGGACTTTTCAGTATTAGGTTAATGATTGGACTCAATGATCTTAAAGGTCTTTTCCAGTCGAGCCAATTCTCTGATTCTGTGCTCCCCATCTCAGACCAGCAAGCCTCAGCCTGCAGGAAACACAACTTGGAAGCTACTTGCCATCTGAAGAGGCAAGCACTAGGACAAGACTAAAGCTTAAAAAATAAACTAAGCTAGTTCTCACTCACGTTCTGCAGCGGGGCTGCCTGAACTCTCATCCTCAGGGAAGGACAAAGGAGCCTGATGCTTTATGAAGAACCAGGTTAGAGGAAGGTCGGGTGAGGTCTCACCTCCACAGTCCCACTTACCTCTGGATGCCGGTCCAAGTCACTTAGAGTTAAGCCGTTCTGCAGGATCAGCTGACGGGCCTGTGCACCAAGAAGACAGCAAACATCATTTACTGGAAGCAGGGAAGGAAAACAGACTCCTGGTGTCATTCTCCCAGCTGCAGCAAGGATGGAGTCCCCCTGGGAGAGCTCCACTGCTCCACCCTGAGCTGGTGGGAAAGCTGCAGCCAGCTGCAGAAACACATGGCAAGGAGACAATGATGCCTCCAGAACAGATAATTTTAATTTAAAACAAAACAAAACAAAGCCCCCCAAAAAACCCAACCCTGATGTTGATTTGAACTAAAATGCTCAATGCTCAGATGGTACAACAGAACTCGTGGGTCCAGGTCTCTCCATACTGAACAGCAAGAAGCCCCATCAGCTTGGTGGAAATCACTTGTATCTGAGCATTAGAGCAGATATGGGATTTCTGAGTCTTGTGTAGTTTCAGCTCAGACATCATTCTCCCTTTCACCCATCTAGTCCTTCCTTTGTCTGAAAAATGGGAGCAAGAAAATGAAATATTTACACCAGAGCAATACAGGACTAACAATGAAAATATTTTTCATATTCAAAATTAAAAAAAAAAAAGGCAAAAAAGAAAAGCACAACTCATGGAAACCTGTGAGAAGCCTCCTGAAACAGCTGTTTGGTGGCTCCAATCTACTTTTACTGAAGTGACTGTGTATTTCCCTCTAGTGGCAACACAACACAGAGCACCCAGAGTTACCCTCCACTTACATTTACACCTGGTCTGTCAGTTTAAATGGAAGTTTAAGCTTAGAGAACCTTGAATTGGTTGAATTTTCTGTGTTACAAATCATCACCTGAGTGAGATTCCCTCCTTGCATGGACTCTGCTCGAGTCTGAACTTTCTACCATGCTGTAGCTAGTCCAAGAAATCACAGTGCAATAGCCTGGAACAACTGATTCCCCTGAATTTTACCCACTAACAGTATCCAAGTGCATCAGTCACACATATTGGCACCCCAGAAACATTAAGAAGAGTTAGCAGGCAGTACTCCTGGCAACGAGATATGATTGGAATTGTTTATCCTGGCACTTCATAGCATGCACTTGTAAGACTCACAGGCTGTAGGCTCTTGATCTGTGCACTAGGATTGCCCTAAGGACTCACAAAATTAAAAGAATAAATATCAGTGGGTTTATGTCCGTTACGTGGTGTCCATGTAAAGAGGTATCAGGGATCTGGGAATTGAAAGCATTGAAAAACACTGTGCTGCACATGCGGGCCAGACCCTGAACAGGCTCAGAGTCAGCTCTGTGGAAACCAGGTGGCTCTCAGC